GAGCACATGTGAAAGACGTGACAGAGTCTGGAGACACTGTGGAGAGCGATCTGCTGCCTGCAACATCCTTCAGCATGACAGGTTTGGCAGTGGGTCAGTAATGGTGCGGGGTGGCATTTCTTTGGAGGGCCACACGGCCCTCCATGTGCTCACCAGAAGTAGCCTCACTGCCATTAGGTACCGAGATGAGATCCTCCGTCCCCTTGTGAGACCATATGCTGGGGCATATATACTGATAATGCATAATTTTTGGTTATGTATAGATATTTTTATTATTATAAATCTACCCTGTAACTGTGTCTAATACTGTAAAGTTAACATTTTTGTGAATTAAAATTGCTACTCCTCTTTGCCTGGAATTATAGCAGGCAGAAAACAAATTAGGAAACTCAGGTGATTAAAGATCATTTGCAGCTGTGGCAAATTTATGAATCTCTTGTAATAAGTCAACGTCTGCCTGTAGTCTTTTAAGCTGATTAAAAATGTTTATCCTTTTCTCTCTGGTGCCGGCTCCATGCACATTAAATGTTACAAACCTTAGTGTGCCCATAGTTGTATGTGTGTCGCTAAAGTTGGACAGCACATGTCACCACAGAAACAGATAGACCGAAGTGAAATCATAGTTGGTGCTTTGGGTTGCCTGATATGAAGTCCAGAAGCAGAGACACAGCAGAAAAAAAAGACAGAAAATTAAGAAGGTGCTTGGGTTAAGAGGGGGTGAGAGATATAAAGTTATGTTAAGAAATATTTGTGTGTGTGCGTGTGTGTGTGTGATTGTGCATGCTTGTATGTGACAGAAAGAAAAAAAGAGTGACGGAGAGGTGCGGTAACAGACAAAATGAAAGGAAACAAAAAGGAGTGGATGCCCAAAAGCCCAGCATTGGCCCCGCCCACATCAAACAATGTAAACATCATCCTGAGCTGTGCTTTACATTAGATTACATGCCAGTTATCTAATCTCTTATCTATCCAGTGTTACAACCTGCTGTTGCTCCTAATAAAGCCACGGAGTGGTCTCCCGGTCCCTAAACAACTGACCATTGACATAAAGTTTATCTACAGCCACTGTAGCTCTGGTGCATTCGGTAATATATTTCTTCCTGATTGAGAATAAAACTCACCTCTGATCGAGGATCTCCTTAGGGAACTGAAGTTCATTCCCCGCAGCTCTCTGCCCCAACTTCTGACCTGCTCTTTTTGCTTATAGTGCTCGAATTTTGCTACAATTGGCCGAGGTCGGTTGTGATCAGGCTTCTTACCTCCGAGCCGGTGAACATAATGGAAAGTGATGTTTTTACCACGTCACTTGATAGTTTCAGCTGACGTTGGAGAAATTTACGGATCGTTTATTCGGCGTCCTCCTCTGCCCGTTCTAGAATGCCAGAGAAGACAAGGTTGTCCCGTGTACCCCGAACCTGTATATCCAGGATGGTCTCCTTAAGTTTTTGTTTTCTCCAAACAGCTGCGTCATTCTACCGGTAAATGTTTCCATGCTATCCCTCAGTGCTGTGAGCGAAGCGAGTTGTTCCTGGCTAAACTCCAGAGACTCCCTCAGAGCTTCAAATTCCCTGTGGAGAACTTCCACCAGGGCGAGACGAGCATCCAGGCTGGTTAGCTTCTTGTCGATAGAGTCCAGGACATCAGCGTAGCTTTTCTCTGGGGAGATAGTGGAGGTGCTGGCCGAGCACTCTGAATGGGTGCTTTTTGATGTTGGTGTGGCCATGAATGGAGATTTTTGTGGCTTGCCCATTACAATGTTATCAAAACATTCGTCCATGTAGCTCTTCAGGCTGTCCAAGGTTTCCTCGTCCCGTTTGTTTTATTGGGAAAATATGAGACAGTAGTTAGTAATTTTTTTCCCTCAATATTTTTATTGTCAATTTTCAGAATAACAAACGATATACAAATAAAAAAAATCATAAACATCCAAAATAGGAGAAAGTAAGTGAATGAAAGTAAAAATCAGCAAAAAAACTAAATTCATGACATAACATACCAACATCATGTACAGAGAGCCTTAAAGTAATAACAGAACTAAATGACCACTTAACTATATCACTTATGTCATAATAGATGACTTTCAGTGGGGTCAACTACAGTTTTAAATAGTCCAGGATAGGTCTCCATACATAAATAGAATTTTTGCAAGTTGTCCGATATCTCGTGTCTCAGTATTTCAACATGAAGGATTCCTATCATCTCTCTCAGCCAGGTCTGGAACTCAGGTGGCAAGTCCGATCTCCACATTTTTAAAATGCATCTTTTTGCTATAACCATACCAGAAGCTACTGCAGTTGTAGCATTTCGGCCCATATTATCCAAAATATAGGAAAAGCCAAGTAATGCAATTTCAGGGTTGGGATCCAAGTTAACTTTTTTTTTTTTTTTTTCCGGCACTAGAGGCCTTTATTATTGATAGTAGGTAGACAGGAAGGAGGGGCAAAGAGGGGGAGACATTCGGCAAAGGTTGCCAGGTCCGGGACTCGAACCCGGGACAGCCGCTTTGAGGACTATAGCCTCTTAACATGGTCGCGCGCTAAACCCCTACACCACCAGCACTGCGCCCACAAGTTAACTTTTAATCAGAATCAGCTTCATTGCCAAGTTCGTACATACAACAAACAAGGAATTTGACTCCGGTACACTTTGCTCTCTGGGTTTCTTTTTTTTTTTTTTGCGTTATATGATATATTCTGCATATATCTTTATGTCCTTAAATACATATATACAATATACACATATACAAGGTGGAATTGCGACTTCAGTATGCTGTTGTTTGGTACTCTATTAAATGTTCATCAGAGAAACAGCCTGGGGGAAGAAACGGTCTCTGTGGCGGCTGGTGTTAGTAAACAGTGCTCTGTAGCGGCGGCCTGAGGGTAAAAGTCTAAACCGTTTATGTGCAGGGTGTGTGGGGTCTGCAGAGATTTTGGCAGCTCTTTTCCTGACCCTAGACCTGTATAAGTCCTGGATGGAGGGAAGGTCAGCCCTGATTATTCTCTCTGCAGTCCT